GAGCCTTCTGTGTTTAAGCCAACCACTTATAATCAATTAGACTCTGGTAGTGGCTCCTCCACATGAATTCTATTCCTTGGCTTCGTTCTGGATACGTCGAGTATGAAAAAATGCTTGCTAAAACAAGAAAATAGCACGAAAAGTACCTACTATAGATTTCCATTGAAAAAAAGATTAGCAAATGTTTTTGGATTTATTCGCTGATCTCGGAAGGTCAGTTGCCTGTAAAGTTGTGGTTCTAAAGTCTGTTTAGCGATATCATATCATCATGCAGGCGGCTGAAATAAATTAGCTAATTGTGAGCCTTAAGAAACTGTCTTATCTCGAGAATCAATTGAGAAAGACGACGCGCTGTCCTTATATCCCAACCGATACACTGTTGTTGAAACTTGGACTGTTGGAAAGGAAGCGATCATCGGGATTGTGCAAGACCAGAAAATATTTGCGATTAAATTCTCTGACAGCAATTAGAGAAAGAATGGAAAGAGCTGGTGCTTTGCTCTGTTGCTCCCAGCTCGACATTTTGCGTGGGCTGTCCTCTGGGGCAGCCTTTTAGAATTGCACCAATGCTGATGCCGTCGAAGGATTTCTCCAGACATTATGATGCTGTTACACCCACGTGATTTTTCGGATTTGGTCTAAATCTACTGCAGCCGTTCACCGCACTGGCCTTCAGGCAGTATTTCAAAATTCTGCCTCGCCAAATCCAAATAACTTATTTTGTTGATCACAAGTATGTTCTATGCCATTTGTTGACTCGAGAACATACCGTATATAGATAAAATACGGTAATTGCGTATCTGCTTTTTATACAGAGGGCTGCATATAAATGTTAAGAATCTTTTCAGATGAAACTTAGATTTCTTCAATTCAACCGTATCGTCGTGTAAATTTTGATACGGTGCAAGAGGTTAGTACGCGATTTCCAGTTCTTGCCCCACTATACCCTCCTCCACTGATAAGAAGACCATTTTATGGTTTACACTGCGCCAAAGTGACCACTCCACAAGGAAAGGCTATGCACTTCTTTTCTTTCACATCACTCCCCGCTTTCGGATCTTAAGATCATACTTGCATCAGCAGTGTGGTCTCG